CAATAATATCTAAATTGTTGATTATTGAAGAATTTTGTAGGTGTAGTATTAGCTATTTTGGTTTCTGTTAAGCTAATAATGTGTAGGTTGTTGGTAAGGCAGTAGTCTTTCCAAAGTAGTCACTTTTTTTGTATATTGTACTCCTGGACATTGTGAGTTGCAATGTTAAGTTTAAATGCAGATTCCTGTGTATTATTGAGTTCAGATTCATTATCAAGAGATAGAGGTGTTGCTTCTTGTATACTATGTTCCTGATAAGAGTAGTCATGGGAAGAAGTTGGTTGTGTTGCTAAAGTATCAGACTGTTGATATGGTATAATTATAGACTGAGATGATGGTTCACCAATAGATTTATTAAGTTGAGTTAAAACTGAGGATGTATTATTAGTGGTTGAAGGTATAGAAAGCTTTGGTAAGTATGAAGGAGTTAGAAGTGAAGTAAGCAGATTATTAGCTAAAAAGTTGTTAAAATTGTTCATAAAGAATCTCTTATTAGTATTAGATTTAAGAGGTAAGTTGTGGTATAAGCTGAAACTAAATTGTTTAATTATTGTGTGGTTAGGTATAGTCTCCTTATTTGGGAGGTAGATATATGTTTCTTTCATAGTGTTATTGACAGAGATAGTGGTATTATCTTTAAATTTAAGTTGTTGAAGTATTTGTAAGAAAGATCCTAAGGTTTGGGATGATGATATGGGTTTGGTCGATCAAATTCGTATAACATAACTATCAAATTCGTATCATGTGACCATCGAATTCGTATTATATAACTATCAAATTCGTATTACATAACTATCAAATTCGTATATCATCCAATCAAATTCGTGTCTCAATCAAATTCGTGTCTCAATCAAATTCATATTTCAATCAAATTCGCGTCTCAATCAAATTCGTGTCTCGATCAAATTCGTGTCTCAATCAATTTCGTGTCTCGATCAAATTCGTTGTCTCAATCAAATTCGTGTCTCGATCAAATTCGTTGTCTCAATCAAATTCGTTGTCTCAATCAAATTCGTTGTCTCAATCAAATTCGTTGTTTCAATCAAATTCGTTGTCTCAACCAAATTCGTGTTCGATCAAATTCGTGTTCCAGTTAAACTTATGTTTCTATTAAATTCTTATCTCAATCAAGTTTATATTCTGATCAAATTTATCTCAAACTCATGTTTTAATCAAATTTGTATCTAAATTAATTTTGTTATCCACTATTGAAATCACTAATTCTTCCACTACTAAATGAGAGGCAGCAGGATGGCTCCCCAAAGTGCCAGTAACTTGAATTACGAACAATTGCTATCATAAAAAAAAATGATCTACAATATATGTGGCTAGAAAAGAACCAATATGTTGCATTAATTGATTTTATGTTACTAGTACTTTTGGAGGTCGCCCTGGCTGCCTCACTAAATGAATTCGCCAGAATGACCTATTAAAATTATAAACCCACTTGCTAATACCAGTGCTGTCAATTCTAATTGTTAAACAATGAATGATCGTCTATTGGAGGGCTTGTCCTTTGTTTATTAAGGGGTAGTTAAATGAACGATAAACAAACCTATGCATACAATTATTCAATAGAATTTTTGTACGATGGAATTTGAAGTTTCTTTCACAATTAATACACAATTAAATTTTCATTAGTAGATATATTTATATATACCGCATCACATTAAACAAAAAACAATCAATAACATTGTTCATTGATATACTTGTTCATTAAATTTAATAAACAATGTTCATTCACAATGCTTTTGACTTAATCAATTTAGCCAATCCCTGAATCTCTGAATCCCTGATTAATTTAAAAATTATTTGCTAAAGTCTTTTCATTGGATAATTTGCTTATTGTTATAAAAAATATACAGGTGCTTTTAAGCAAAAATTTTGTTCTTTTCCAGGGCTTAAGCGACTATATTAATTTGCCGGACATTTACTGTGCCATTGCTATTGTTTAAAGTGTTGTTTTTGATTCGTTGACATTAGTATATTGCACATCTTATTGCTTACTATACTAGCTAATTAATTTCTGATCTACTATAGATCCAGGATGACATTCTTGAATGTTCGATATTTCAATATAGTTGTTTAAGCCCTGATGATGTATTTAATATACCTCATTTTAGCCCTGCTTAAAATTTGGCCAATATCTATGTTTCTAATTGTTCACTGACAAAAAGGAATATCTTATTTTTATTGCATGAATAATGAATATTGTATCTTAGTATTAAAACAATACAGCTAGCTATTTGTAGAATTTTAGATACTACGAATAGCTAGACACTGGTTTAGAATCTTTACATTATAATTGACTAAAAGTAATTTGAGCCCTACTTTTATGCATTATATAAAAAATAACTCCTGATATTAATTATAGCTAACAATTGTTAATAATATGTAAATAACTATATAAATAATTATATAATTTAATGCTTTCAATAAGTATATTTTCGCTTAAGTAAATTTTTCTTAAATACCTGAGGTTATTCACTAAATTATCCTCATATCTATAAACTTAAACCATGAAGCACAATAGATACCCATATAGAAAAATTACTCTAGATATAAGAATGCGTATAATAAATTTAGTTAACAATAAATGTGTACCTATTAGTCAAGTTTCAAAAATATTTCGAATTGCTCCTACAACTATTACTAGTATCATAAACCGGTTTGATGAAGAGGACAGAATACTTCTTAAGCCAAGAGGTGGAGATAAACGTTCAAAATTAAATGATGAGCATAGAAATTTTTTAAAAAACCAAATGGAAATAGATCCAAGTTTTACTATTGCGGAATTACATCAACAACTCATTGAGCGGTTTCCCAATCTATAAGTAAATTATTTTAATTTATATAATTAGTATTTGAGTTAATACTTGAATTCAGATTTGATTATTTTAGTTATAATTGATTAAATCCAGATCCAAGCATTAACTCTAATTATTCATACAACTACTAAAATAAATTATATATATATGCATATATATAGATAAGCAAATCTACGATAGCTCAAAATATAAATAAGTTAGGATTTACATTAAAAAGAATGACAGCTATTCCTGACAGTCGCAATAGCAGTACTACAATCCCCAACAGAAGAGAATATATAGAAAGAATATTGTTTGACAGAATTGACCTCTATAATAATACAATATATATAGATGAAGCAGGTTTTAATTATCACTTAATACACTCACGAGGACGTTCATTACATGGTCAACCTGCTGTTAAAAGAGTCATTAATAATCGTGGCAAAAATCTTTCAATAATTACAGCAATGAATGGACATGGCATTCTTAAATTCACGCCTCATTTGGGTTCAGTAAATAAGGCTATCTTTAAAAGATTTTTAATTCAGCTTAAAAGATTACTTCCTGTTAATCAAAAAAGATATATAATCTTAGACAATGTAAAATTTCACCACTCACCAGAAGTTACGAATGTTCTTAGAGGAACATTACATGAAATTATTTACTTACCACCTTACTCTCTATTCCTTAATCCCGTTGAGAAAGTTTTTTCCAAAGTCAAAAATCAAGTTGCAAAACATCGTCTTGAAAACCATGAGTCTATTATAGGAAGAATAGAAGAAGCATTTGATATGATAACCGAAAATGATTGCATTAACTGGATCACACATACACGATCATATTTTGATCACTGTTTAAATGAAGAAGAAATTGAGATGTAATCATAAAGTTAGTAATTTTGGCTTTTTATATTGTAACGGATTCTAAGATGCTTTTTTTCTACATATTATTTTTTTCCTTTTATAGTAGTTTATTTCATTAAATAATACATAAATAGAATAAATAGATACTTTCTTTTTTAGTAATTATTGTTATAGGGTAGACATTTCATTTTTAGTATTATGGTATTTGTTATATATACGTACGTATTTGTAACATATATAAGATATAGAATATGGTTTTATATATGTAGTGAATATGTGCCTTTTACATAATAAATTTATAATATTTGTTCAAAATATACTTACTAATTGTACGAAAGATTGTTCTTAGTTTGTTGTATTGCTCAAGAAAGTAAAGTATTAGTAAGAAACCTTAACTTTGTAATTTTTGTAAAACTTATCGAAGAGAAAGAAATAGATAAAAGTTACTTAACCTTTTAATTTGACCCTTATATTGGTCATTACTGTTAACCCATGATATTGTACCACGTGATATCATAAATTGGAAATAAGCAGAACAGTAATAGTAGATTAGCGAATAAGGGTAATATAGAAAATTAGACAGCTTGTGATAAAAAGAAAATATGCATTTACATTAGTAAGCTTAACAACAGGCCAATTGAAGGCAGTAGCTATATAATTACTTAGTACTCCAAATCGGATTTGTTAAGGTTTTTTGGTTATAGAAGCCATCGCTTGAACAGGTCTTGTAGTATCCTACTGTCTTGCATAATATATATTCATATTATGTGAATAGATTTTTAACCATATTTAAACATAAAATATGAACACATGATTACATATTCTTTAATTCAAAAAACTTGTTTCCATTATTTATAATTTCTATATGATACCCGTAAGAGAATAAAATTAGCTATAAGTACGAGGCTTTAATAAAGCTTTTCTATTGACATACACAATGCAGCTATATAATAAAAAAAATCTCTCATATTTCAGAATCTCTAAGTCATATTAATATATGTTTTTTTTTCATATGACTTAAAAATTGATTAGGATCTGTTCTCTAGTTATATCTCATACATACATACCTGTATAATTTTTAATAATTCGGGTTTATCACATGAATTTTGTGATATTTCAGAATTTATTAAAGTTTAATTAGACAAATTTCTAAAATATCACAAAATTCATGTGATAAACCCGAATTATTAAAATCGGCTCCAACCTCTAAGTAAAACAAATTCAATTGGCTTGATTGAGATAAGAATTTAATAGAAACATAAGTTTAACTGGAACACGAATTTGATCGAACACGAATTTGGTTGAGACAACGAATTTGATTGAAACAACGAATTTGATTGAGACAACGAATTTGATTGAGACAACGAATTTGATTGAGACAACGAATTTGATCGAGACACGAATTTGATTGAGACAACGAATTTGATCGAGACACGAAATTGATTGAGACACGAATTTGATCGAGACACGAATTTGATTGAGACGCGAATTTGATTGAAACACGAATTTGATTGAGACACGAATTTGATTAAGACACGAATTTGATTGGATGATATACGAATTTGATAGTTATGTAATACGAATTTAATAGTTATATAATATGAATTCGATGGTCACGTGATACGAATTTGATAGTTATGTTATATGAATTTGATTGACCAAACCCATAATATAGTTACAGCTTGTTGTAGGGTTTGTTAAATATTGTTTTCGATTTTTGTACATCAGGAAAATTTAAAACTAGATTATAATCAATTAAAATTTAAGGATTTTAAACGATTTTTATCACTACCGTCAAATAAAATCGATTAGATTTTTATCGATTATAATTGATATAAATCATTGCTATCGATTATAATCTTTTAGATTGTTTTGATTTTTATCACCGATTTTTATCAATTTTGATATGAATCAATTATCAACACCACCATCGGTTATAATCGCTTAAAGCCAATCGATTATAACCAATTAACTGTTTTGCAATTGATTATAATCAGGCTTTAAAATTTTCTGATGTAGAGTATATTATCATCCTTGTTATTATTTATTATGGGTTTATATTATTATTTTTTTTTTTTAATTTAACAATGCAGTACAACTCCGGTTTTTGCTACTTAATGATCTTGCTTTAACATAGAATATCCATCAGGAAAATTTAAAACTAGATTATAATCAATTAAAATTTAAGGATTTTAAATGATTTTTATCACTACTGTCAATTAAAATTGATTAGATTTTTATCGATTATAATTAATATAAATCATTGCTATTGATTATAATCTTTTAGATTGTATCAATTTTTATCATTACCGATTTTTATCAATTTTGATATGAATCAATTATCAACACCACTGTCGGTTATAATCGCTTAAAGCCAATCGATTATAACCATTAACTGTTTTGCAATTGATTATAATCAGGCTTTAAAATTTTCTGATGTCTTTAGCCACTGTTCCCTTAATTGTATTATCATAAAATGATTTTGGCTTATGTTTTCTTCTTTTTTTTTTGTTTTTTTTTTTACAAGGCCACTTTTAGTGTTATGATCACTTTGCTTGATCTTATATGAGTGCTTTTATCATTCGTTAATGGTGGTGTTTCTTCTCTTGCGAATACAAGCCAAACTAATTATCAAAAGTAATAGTAATCTGCCCAGGTTCTCGTATCATAAGTTAACAGATTACTTTTAGTATTAACAATCTAGCTCAAGAGGTAAACGCTCTTCATTCGCTGTTGGTGGCAATACAAGTCATTCGTAAAAGGATAAGTATCTTATTTACTATATTATTAAAGTCACATTTATTAAGTAAAAGCACTAACTACTTCTTTATTTTTCGCTACTGCTTATAAATACAATATTAACTATTTTTAAATTACATCATATGATAATCATGCTATTTTGACTTTCTAATTTTCCTGATCACGCCATTTTGACTTTTTAATTTTCTAATCATGCCATTTTGACTTTTAAATTAATTTACATATTTTTCATGCATATTACGCATCATTTTCAACTTACTAATACCTACATCATTAATTGAGTATCAACTTTCCCTTGTGCTTTTGTTACCCAGTTTGATCGTAACTGTCACATGGTCATATACACACGATTTCAAGCGATCCTTATTCTACTTAATTTACTAAGTATTCATTATATAAAATTTATTATTATTATTATTATTATTATTATTATTATTATTATTATTATTATGTTGCCTGATTATTTATTCTTTTAATGTTCTAAATCAATCCCTCTTATTAGATATACTATATACCATTCTTCATCATGACAATAGCTAATTTCTTGCTCTAAAATACCCTTCGTCTATTGCTTCTCTCTCTTCTTTTCTACTAGCACTCAGCTTGCATCCATTCTGTCTGCTTCTAATTGAGATTGTCTCTTGCTATTTCTTAAAGATCTATCAGTATAGAAAATAAACTGTGCCAGAGAGTATTCTTGTAATTTTCTGTTCTTCTCTAATAAAAAGCTTTGCATTTCTTGACTGATTTGCTGTTTCTTGATAATTTCTGCATTCAAATCATATATTCTAATTTCTTGAAATATACTTTTACCTCTTGGTATCTTTAGCTTGGAGAGAACTTGTGTCGACTGTATCATTTCTAGATTAATTTTTAGAGCTTTTCCTTTTTGTTTTTCGACGAATCTTGTTATAGAGCCTTGAATCTTCTCTTCACTTAGATGACTTTTACAAAAGCTCTCCTCTTTTTCTTGATTGAGTTCACAACCTTCACATCCTTCTATAATTGTGCTTTTTGTACTTCAGTCTGAAATTGGTTTCCAATATTCTGTAACCTATTTCTTCTTTGATTTACCTACGATTTTTCTAACTGATGTAGTTTTATTTTCTGCTGTTTTAGATGCTTTTATCAGCACCCATTCTTTCTTTCTTCTATCTGCTTCTAGAGGGTCCGCAGAGATTTGAAGAGACCAGGAGCTAGGTCCTTTTATCCTGTATTCTGGCTTTACAGTCCTATCTTCACAATTTTTGATTATCTTCTTCTCTATTAAATAAAACTACTTTGTACTTTTACCTCTACATAAAAGATGCCTAAGTATTTTAAGTTGCTGCCAAGTTAACATCTGATCTTCTGTATGTGTTAACAGTTGCTTGAAAGATATAATATTAAGCTTTCTAAGTATTGTTGCCACTTGTGATGTAAACTTCTTTTCAAGAATATTTGCTATTCTGAATTTCTTGTCATCACCTATAAGCTCTGTGTTTTTAAATTTAAATATAATGTTTAATTCTCTAGCCTTCAACATTGTTAGACAAGCCAAGTTATTCTTTCAAAGACAAGTACAAGTGTCTGGTAGTCCATAGAACCACATGTTTTCAGCTGCTCTCAAAAACTGTAGCCCTTGACTTATTTTCAGTGATATTAATATTTCTTCAGATCCTGCTGAGTTTAATCGCAGATGCAGATTGGAGACTTGCTTAATTAGCAGCTGATTCCATAATGCATTGCAGCTTCCAATACTTCTGTGAAGCATCATACTATTGTTTATAGTTCTTGCTAACTCTATTTTTGCTTTGCTAGCATTAGTATTGATGCTTGAAGATCATCTATTGTCTTCTTAGTAAATTTTGACACTTGTAATATGTAGCACAATTTAGAAACTATACATATATTATTAATATATGCAGCTTGTGCTACTGTGAGTTTCTTTGGATTTAACATCTGTGTTGTTGATCATATGACCTCTTTTGCTCTTGCTTTAACAAGAGCTTCATCTAAATAATTGTTAAGCCATACTTCTAGAAATCTTGTAATTTTGTTTTTCCTTCTTCTCCTATCTATTTATTATCAAAAAAGATCTTTCTATTTTCTTTTTTTTCCCTTGAATTAACTACATTCAATTTAGACTTCTTTTCATTTATTTGAATGTCATTCAATTTAAAAAATTTTTTTGCAATCTGTATTATTTCTTTCATCTGTTCTTTGCTTTCTGTGATCCACGTTGTATCATTAGCATATGCAACTACCGCCTGCTTCCA